GCAGCCATTTAAATTTAAATGAAGCCGCGATTATTTTAATCGCGGCTTCATTTCCCTCTGCCGATCTGGCTAATCTACATGCCTCCGTCGACGGAGGCATGTAGTTTAGACGTACCCTTAGTTTCATGGATGGTCCTGACCTGCTATAAAATAAGAAAGACTATCTATCTGTCTGTCTGCCTCTCTATAGTTTTCTATATCTATATTTATTTTAAAAGGGTGCTCAGCACTGAGTGCCTGCCTAACGGGAACTATAAAATGCTATTAACGTGTAAAGTACTGATTAAGCTTTGTGTGAAAGGCACTGCATATAAATATTGTGGGGCTTTCAAAAGCCAATGTTATCTTCAGCATTGGTGTTAAGTTCAGTGGGAGAGGTTAGATTGATGGTGAGTACTTTTGTACTACCACTTGTAATATTTATTACCACAAACCTCAATGAACATACATTAAATATTGCTGGTATATTAAGAAGGGCTGGTATTTTAATAGGTAGCAGGTTTAAAACAAATACAAGGAAGTATTTCTTTGCACAACACACAGTCAACCTGTGGAATTCCTTGCTAGAGGATGTTGTGAAGGCCAGGACTTTACCAGGGTTCAAAAAAGAACTAGATAAATACATAGACGATAGATCCATCAGTGGCTATTAGCCAGGATGGGCAGGAATGGTGTCTCTAGCTTCTGTTTGTCAGAAGCTGAGAATGGGCAATGGGATGAATCACTCGATTACTTGTTCTGTTCGTTCCCACTGTAGCACCTGGTCAGAAGACAGGATATTAGGCTAAATGGACCTTTGATCTAATAATATAGCAATTCTTATGTTCCTATGATAACGCCTGTGGCTTAGATTTCATAAACCCTTTAGATTTAGAACCTCTCCTTTGAGGTTGTAGGATTCTTTTCTCTTTTGGGACAGACTGTTTGTTTGAAACACATGATGTAGAGTTGGGTCTGAAAGGGGAAAAAAACAGTTTTTGTTCCCCGGGATTTTACTACTTTATACTTTATTTTACCACTACTGGACACATGCTGTAATCAGGGATAGGAGAGGCAGTGGGAAAATCATTTAATGGTTCTCTTGTTTATATTTAAACATTTTCTGAAAAATTGGCTTCTATCTTGGTGACTTAAGACAGGAAAGAAACCTGGGGAATAGCAAAAGCATGTTAACTTTCTTTTGCTGGAAAAATTCTTTGTTTCTGGAAAGTACATTGACTGCGTATTGGCCAGACTGGACTGTAGGGGCCTATAATGGCGCATGCCCTGTCCCCACTTCTGATGCCCAGAAATCTCTCAGACTACATCTACACTAGTGCATTCTCACACAAAAACTCTTTTGCAGAAGAGAGCGTCTACACTGGCATGTGCTTTTCCACAAGACCATCCATTCCAGTGTAGACACTCTCTTGATCAAGAAAGATCTGATTGCTATTTTAGCCATAGGGCTTTCTTGTGCAAGAAATTCATGTTGCCTGTCTACACTGGCCTCTTCTGAAAGAGCTCTTGTGCAAATGGGCTTCTTCCTGAGCAAGAGCATCAGAGTTCTCACGCAAGAAGCCCTGATACAGTAGAACATCAGTTTACTTGCGCAAGAACACACAGCCAGTGTAGACCGCTTTTGTGCGAGATCGTGCCAGTGTAGACATAGCCTCAGTTTTTCCAGTGAGTGGCCCCTCCATATTATTAATTTACATTCCCATTCCCAGCACCGATGCAGTGATGTGCAACCTACGGTTTACTGTGCCTTTTTACCCTTTCCCACAGAGGAACAGCACTATCTCCCTGAAGATCTGAGAGCATATTGAGTTCTACTAACTCAATCTGCTCTCCTTCATTTCCTTCCTGTGTCTTTTTATAGCCCTCAGTTGAGTGCTAACTGGCTCATCAGCCCCCCAGACTGATTAGCTAATTAGTTGCATATTTTTCTAGCAGCCTTCTGCAGGGGAACTAATTGGTGCCTAAGTGATCAGAGGGCTGGCTTAGTCATTTGCCTCCAGCGATGTCACAGGGCTAAAGATCTGTATAGGAACCAAGGGTATTCCCCTATTATGTAAAAACAGACCAGTTGTTTGTAGTACCTGGCAAACAATAGGGAAGTTTGGGGACTCCTAGATACCTTTGAGGGTCTCCCCATCTTCCGGTGTCTGTGACTGGTATGCCAAACATCCAATTGACTTCCAAGTCTTTAATTTAAACACTCCTTTCGTACAGCTAGTGTTGGTGGCATATGTGATGTGTCCACATCGCTCTTTACAGGTTTTATTTCCTTTCTGATGAAACACAAAATAGTTGCCTCCCTCGCTTTCCTCTGTTATGAGCTATGAATTAAGGACAGCATGTCTACTTTCCGTAGATCAGAGTGGCGCTTGGACATGGGGTCATCAGCTGTCCCCTAAAGAGAGAGAAGAGAAAAGTGTAGGATGGCTAGCTGCCCCCAGATAAGCTTGGTTGCTTCTTGGAGATATTGGAAGTAGTGTTGGAGTAGGCAACCTTCTCCAAACATCATTAGGTGTCTTCCAAGTGGGAATTATGGTTGCCTCGAGTGGAATTAGGCTTCTCAGGGAATCCACCCACATTTTCTTCTATCTTTAAAGTATATAACTAGTAATATCCACACCGTCATCACCTTGAGCACACAACCATGAACCTATCTGTAAGGAAGGGAATCATTCAAATATATCTACTTCTTTACAGGAGATGTAGTGGCTGGGCCCTGAAAATTTAAAATGGAACCATTACTATATACCCAAACTTCAGGTCTGGCTTTCAGCTCCTCACAGAGAGGGAATTAGGGTATGATTCTTTCAAAAATGAACTTTCCTAACTCTGTTTTATAGTTTTCCTTTTGTATGTTTGGCAACCTCAGTAACTGGAAAATCTTTGATCAGCTGAGTTATTGGTCAAACGAGCCAAGGTAGCCAGTTTAGAGATACATTCCTATTACACATTTGTTTAACATTCTATATTGTATGTTATTTGCTTTATGCATTGCTCATGAATACTATAACTTAAGTGCTCTATGGGTATATCTACACTGCATTCCTCTTTCAAGAGAGGAATGCAAATGAAGACAAATGAAATTGCAAATGAAGCACGGATTTGAATTTTCCATGCTTCATTTGCATAATTGTGGCCGGCCGCTTTTTCAAAATACCCTTTTCGAGACAAAAAAAGCTGTTTAGACGCGGTTATTTCGATAAAAAATCCTTATTTTGAAATAACCCTTACTCCTTAGGTTTAAGGGTTATTTTGAAAGAAGGGTTTTTCTTGAAATAACCTCATCTAAACCGCATTTTTTATCTTGAAATAGGGTATTTCGAAAAAGCGTCCGGCTGCAATTATGCAAATGAAGCGTGGGAAATTCAAATCCATGCTTCATTCGCAATTTTGTTTGTCTGCATTTGCATTCCTCACTCGAAAGAGGAATGCAATGTAGACATACCCTATGCTATTTTTGTGTCAGATGTTCATTTGCAGATGTTGCCCTTATGTGAAACAACGGCTTACTGAGAAGATCGTTCTAAATCACCTTGACCTGGGTAGAAAAGAGACTGTTTGACCATGCTGGTTTACATGTGCTTCAATGGAGTTATGCTGACTTAGTGCATGTCTTTTGCGCAAAAGCATCTGTGCCAGTGTAGACGCTCTCTTGCGCAAATACTTTTAACGGAAAAACTTTTCCGTTAAAAGTATTTGCGCAAAATCATGCCAGTCTAGATGCAGCCCCAGTGTTTAAAGACAGAGCTGACTAGAATCAATTGAGAGTCCTTGTCTTGTCTCAGTGATCGCTTGAGCAAAAATCATTGATAACATTTTGTGTAGACTGACCTTGGACTCAACATGCAGGCAATATGTTGAAGGGCAGTGCAAAGGAGGCAATGGTGGTGAGGTACCACATCACTTAGTGAAATCATTGGTGCTGAAATCACTAAGGACTGGAATTTGACCACAGAACTGACACTTTCTTAACCTTCTGGGATGAGGTTTACCTGGGTGGTTGACAAATACCTTTGATGTCGACACCCGCGCATCCAGACTATCGCGCTGAGCCGACAAATAGCTGATCAGCTGTTTGTCAGCTCAGTGCAGCAGCCATGTAAATTTAAATGAAGCGGCGATTATTTAAATCGCCACTTCATTTTCCTATGTCTGGTAGCCTAATCTACATGCTTCTGGCGACAGAGGCATGTAGTCTAGACATACCCTAAGACTCCATTTTTGCTATTTAAAAAGTAAATCAATGTAACAGAAAACTGCAACGCTCTCTGGTAACTTTTTAAAAATCAAACTTTAAACTTTATTGAAAAGATTGGATAGTTTGCAATTGAAAATATTTGACCTACACTTAAGGCAACTGATTTAATTTTGTGAAAATTGTACATAATAAAGGATGGCATTGTTTTTGGAAAATGTTCAACTATGTTGATATACATTTTGATCAGATCGACTTCTGATGTGATATTTGTGTGTGGTTGTGGTTTGTTGTGTGTGTGTGTGTGCGTTTGTGCTTGTGGTTTTTTTTTTTTTTGCTCAATAAAAAATCCTGGGTGGTGGGGCCCCGCCAAAACTGTTTGAATTGGGCCCCCGCACTTCCTAAAGCCGGCCCAAATTCTCCTCACCCAGTCTCTAATTCCTGTGAGCATTTCACAATGGGAGCTACGTTTCTTCCTGGCTCAGTGACACGGAAATGTACTGAATTAAAGGAATCCAACTCTTTTCCAGTAAATGGGTGGCTGCAAGTCATTAGATAGCTGTGTTTACATGTAGATAGGCGAAGTGAAAGAGACGTCAAACGATTCTCTGCACCACAATTAAAATCTTCCATATCTTTATATATATGTGCGCCTTCTCCTAATTCCTTAATCTTTATTGGACACTCATTTAAGATCTTATCAAAAAAGAGAAGTCACATTTAAAGTTCTGGCTTTGGTGTGTGTGTAGATATAGATACACAGTATTTTTAGGGCAGAGCATGAAGTTTAACTTTCACTTTCTAGGTTTATAAGACTCTCCCATGACTGCATTCAAGCATCTATTAAACAGAAGTGGGAGAACAGAGCAAGCATTCCAGGCATCTTCTGCTGGAACTTTATCTGCTCACAGCTTTACAACGATGACAGATCCAGGAAAGACTTCCACTGCCCCTACAGGGTAAGTCATTGTTGCCAAACATGCCCACATTATTAGAAGTTATAAACAAAAATTGAAATTCAAATTGTTTTTGAAATGTAGATTTTAGTGAAAATACTCCAGATCTGATTTATTTGTTTGCAAACTAATAAGTTAGTGCCCAGTACATCAACATATAAAGCACTCTAATAAATGCTAGGTGCTTTTATGATTACACCTCATATTTTGTCATTGCCTTCTCTCAATTTAATAATATTTAGTATTGTGATATATTGCATTGGCGCGTTCCATATATTATCCAGTATGGGTCTACAAGCAGGGAAATAGAAGATCTACTTTCTCTTTAATTTTGTCGGTAGAAAATGTAGTAAATACACACATTTATATATACAAACCAATACTATTTTTTCACACCTTAATATTTGCAATTACTGTGGAAAGAAAATACATGTTTTGAGACTAAGGTACCATTCTGCTTTAGTGAGGGGATAGGTGAGAAGAAATAGGTAACATTCAGCTCTACTTAGTCAATTTTTATGGTTTGTGGCCACCTTTTTGTGATGCACTTCATTAATTGCTATGGCTATGTCTATATTTCTATTTTAAAACCCTTTTGTTTCTTGGGGTAAGAATAGTGTCGGTCTGCTGACTTGCAGGGATGAATTACAGGCAATTAAAGGAATTAGATGAAATGTCATGGAATGTGCCACCCTGAAATCCTGGCCTCTCAGAAGTCCCTGGAAGTTTTTCCATTGTGAGTCCAGGTCTCTGCAATAATCACAGGATCACTTCAAAGAATCAATCTCAGGTTTTACATAGAACTCAGTCAATGATGGGCTATGTGGATGTAGGAAATAGTTTCAAGCTAGTATCTAACAAAAGCAGGTATATACAGTGAACCAGCTTCTTTTTTATCCTAACAGTGCATCTAAGTGTATTAAAAGGTCCTTTCAGACACACCAGTAAATAGTTTGCCCAAATTAGCTGATACAATTGATTACTAATCTAATTGTAGAATTATGACAATCTTGGAGGGAATCCATTATCCCAATGTTATGTCACTATAGAAGAAAGAACTATAATTGTGTGATATAAGTTCCTTTTTGTAAAGATTAACTGGGCTACCAACAGTTAATTTTTGGATGGAACATTTTTTTTTGGTTTAGGAAGACTGAGAAAGTAAATCCCCAGATATCTTTCATCTGTTTTTCCCTTTGCTGTATGTTTTGGAATAAAATGCCTATGTTTGCAATATGGTGACATAGTATGAAGACAGTCGACAGAACACAATTTCAAAGGCTAAAGTGAAATTCACAGGGATGATACTACATCACCTGTATTGGTGCCTTTTGAAGAGAGAGGAGCAGCATCAGATTTCATGTATTCAGATTTTGATTCTGAATCAGCTGATATAACTCCTAAGAGTGGCAATGGCCACATACTCTTTGAGCAGTTTTTGATTTCCAAAGAAATCATCAAAGAGGAAGAAACTTTCAAATTCTGATAAAGGAATGAATTTAGAACAGTGACCAAGATTATCTTTAGGTATATAAGAACGTGTCCATTCACTACATATAACCTGGTGGTTCTGGGCAGCAATACATGAGTGCACTATATTGTATACAGTCACGGGATAGTGAGAGATCTGAGTTTTAAATGCTTGTTTTCTTATGAAATGTCTTCCCTGTTCATCTGATTTCCAGTTATGGGTGTCTAAGATGGTAGCAATTAAGAATTCTCAGTCCCAGAACCTCAGTTAGTGTCAATCAACATAGATCCATTGATTTTGATGGAGGTGCACTAATTTATACCAGCTGAATAACTTACCAGCCTGATTAGCTGTTCTATAGAAGCTGGGGATTTGGCTCCTGTATACCAGTGATTAACTTATTGCTCCAAAACAACAGCCAAGATTTGATTTTGTAATTATCACAATAGTTCTTCAGGTACAGGATGCAGAGGGAGTAGGATACTCATCAGACCGTGATCAAGTGTTTCTCTGGCCTCTCTGTATTCATGTTTGGAGGCATTCCTCATAAGAATATAAGAACAGCCATACTGGGTCAGATTAAAGGTCCATACAGCCCAGTTTCCTGTCTGCCAACAGTGGCCAATACCAGATGCCCCAGAGGGAAGGAACACAACAGATAATCATGTGATTTCTCTCCTGTCACCCATTTCCAGACAAACACAGTCTAGGGACATCATTCTTACCTATCCTGGCTAATAGCCATTGATGAACTTAACCACCATGAATCTATCTAGCTCTTTTTTGAACCTTGGTAAAGTCCTAGTTTTTACAACATCCTCTGGCAAGGAGTTCCACAGATTGACTGTGTGCTAAGTGAAGATGAACTTTCTTTTGTTTGTTTTAAACTCTACTTCCCCTTGATTAGATTATCATTGGCCTTAGCTCTTCCTCAATTTAGAGCACACCAGTGGGTTTTTTTATAGTTATGCCTGAAAGAAGCAGGTTTTCCAGGATCACTGGCCTTTCTTGTAACTCTGTAGCCTTCCACTGTGGTATTTCAGGCCTGTACACAGGAAGATGTGAAGGGTTCAAATGCACCCTCGTAATGGTCCCCCAAGTAAGTGGGAGGGGGCTCTGTTAGGGAGATTGGAGAGCACTGTGTTGCAGGGGGATGGGAAGGTGGGGCTGGTAGCAGCATGGCAGGGCCAGGGGAATGGCACCCTCCACATGAGAAGCAGCCTGGGTCTGTCCCTGCTGGCTGGAAGCCCTGCCTGCACTCACCTAGCACTGACCTCTGCAGCAGGCAAAGGCTGCTGACATAGCAGCGGGGCCATGGTGGCTGTGCTGCCTGCCATGATCCTAGAAAGTAATTTCGATAAAACCTTTATTACTGTAGAAATATTTAGTATGTTATAACAAAATCATTTTACCAATCCCTGTTTCCACTCAAATCTTTCATTAACCTCTCTTATGCACACTCACTGCGTGACTATTTTGAACTCCTTTATATTTTAAAAAATTGCAGTCCACATTTACAAAAAAAACCCCACCACCCCTCCATACACACAGAGAAATTCCTGTGTATGGGCCTGTATTTTGGGGTAAGGGATTGCCTGGGACACAGCTCTCTCTGCACTTTCACTTCTTGTGGGGTGGAATGTGTCCATGCATCTGTTCTTGTGTGTCTAATTTTCACGGATGGTATCCTGCCTTTCTGGTGGTACAGTTCCTGTGTCGGAGTCCATTTCAATGTGCCTGTGATAAACCAAATTGACTTCAGGATCCATTTTGTGTGTCTGTCTCCTTTAAGCAGAACTGTGGAACAGCTGGGTGATGCAATTATGCTGGAATATTCTTTGCATCCTAAACTAGCATGGATTTACACTTCAGTTTTCTATTCATGGTCACAAACTGATTCAAGGATCCTGGGGATCAAGGTTCAGATAAAGGCTGCTGATATGTAAAGGATGTTTCTGTGGTTGGCACACTGCCGAATTCTGAGCTGAAGTCAGGATCAAAAGTAGCTGATTTATTTTCAGTGAAGGCAAAAGTTGATATTTATAGAAATTCTGTTTTGAATTGTCCAGGACAAGGCAGCCCTGGCAACAATGGCGGGAAATGAAGTGGGGGGTGAATCCTTCAGAAAATTCACTACTAGGGTTGCCAGATGGCTGAAATAAAAATACCGAACAGGTAGTCCCCGAGTTACGCGGATCCAACTTATGTCGGATCTGCAGTTACGAACGGGGATTTTCTCGCCCCGGAGGACTTGAGCGGCGGGACGCCTGGTCCGGCAGAGGACCCGGGGCCAGAC